GTCTTAGTGAATTTTGCGTAAGAACTAAAAATATGAGCCTATGGAAAGATTTGTCTTTCTTTCTTTTTATTTTGATATTTTCTTCAAGCGAATTAGACTATAATGACTTTTTTTAAATTTTGGATGAAGTGTGATAAAGATAATTTTTCGGCGGTTGTTCTATATTCATTTCATAATCTGTGACTATTTTCCTTTTTCTTTGACACCCCTTGATAGCAAATGAAAAGTCAGAAACCCCTAATTTTTCTGTTATATCCGTCATATTGATTTTGTTCGTATAAAGTTCAGTTTATGTTGACACCCGAACAATAACAACGACTGACTCGTCACTCATCAAAATCACCACTTTGACGAAACTTACGTAAATACAAACATACAAGCATACAAATATATACAGTGTGTCAGTTTGAAAACGTACAACGTTCTAAATTTCAGCTCCTACTGAATATCTAAAAATATGCAAAAACCCGTCAAACTTATTTTCAAGGAAGATATTTTGCAGGCTAGTTTGCAAATGAATTCAAACCTCTAATTGGGGCGGACACAACCCCCTTAGAAGTCGCTCAGCTACTTTTACAAAAAAGAACATATAATTGATCTTTTTTCTTAGCCGTTCGCGAGAAATCTGGTGAAAACTAATCAAGTTCAGCAAAAACACTTTGTTAATTGAATCAAAAGGAAAGAAACTGAAGTCGTATTACTTAACGATTAATGTTTTCAGTATTTTTACTTGTATAGTGTTTTTTATCGATCTTTTTTGGGTATTTTTCCCGTCCACAATCTGAAAAATATAAAAATTATAATGGAGAACTTTATACAAGTGTAGAATGAACTGATGAAATACACTTATCTTAACGTTTCGGAAGCCAAAATCTGCCTCCGTCTTCAGAAATGGACAAAAAAATTCAAAGATATTTGCATTTTTCTCAACTCGATATTTCTCAACTTCTTCGACAGATGCCAAAGGAATTTTGTAATGTGAAATTATGTCGATGTTGTTGATTGACTACTGAAACATTCGATGTAATACAAGGTGTTCTCCGATATCAGTCTGTTGCCATTTCGCCACTATCCAAAGTTTTCTTCAAGATGGGTAGCCAAGTACGGTCTATTTCTAAGTAGCTGTTCGAAATACAATTCTCTCCAGAAATAAGAATATACGCTTTCTTTTAGCTTACCTCTCTCAGAATGAGGCTCATTGGTAATCATTCTTGCCTTGTTCCATTCAACACGATGTTCACCGTCTGATTTTAAAATGTGTTCTGACAATTTAGATCCTGTAAGTTGTCTATTAAGTTAAGTTAAGTAAGTTGGTGCAGGCCCAAGTCACGACGCAAAATTCGCCAAATTGTGGTCTGCGAAAGGCCGAGTTCTTGTGAGCGACGCGAAATCGACTACCTCGGATTCTCCTGTACACTCTCACAGACAGCGGCGGCGTTTTCGACAGATCTTGCGTTTCGTCGACGTAAGGGTGTTGGTCGATCGTTTATTGAACCAGTAGGACGATTATGGCGACCGCAAAATGGACGAAGCGCGCGGTACGTTGCCCGAACAGAACACCAATTTTGATACAACAATTTTATCATTTACACGTGTTGTTGAATGCTATATCCGTCTATGGTGATTTGGGAAAACAGACTGAATAAATGACAACTAATTTGACAGATGAAGCTTCAACAAGATGGCCGATATCAATTGTCAAAGTTCGGAAGCCAGTGTTGACAGACATGTTCTGTGGTTTTGTGGGGAAAGTGAGGCACTGCAGTGACTTGAGAGTCAGAGGGTCTCAAATCAGTGAAAACAATGCGCAGAGCAGAAAATTATTTATGTTACGCTGAGAACTAACGCCAAGGCACTGTGATATTTTTTATTATTGCATAGGGATTTATTTTTACCGTACCTGTAATGCAATGCAGTCGGATTATAAATAACATGTTATTGACGTTTGAAAAAATTCAACAAAAACAAAGTTGTTTTCAAATTCTGCGAAGGTGCTTAACCTCGCCTCTGAACTTATCGCTGTGCATCGGGTCTTTAGCAAAAACGCTGTTTTGTTGGTTCTAATTATAAAAAAGGTAGACGGCAAATATTGCTTGTTTACGAGAAAGAAGTTTTTATTTGAAATGCAATATTTTATCTCGACAGTATCATCCCATTTTGAACGTGCCGTCATAACAACAATAGATTACACAACACGGTGAATGTATTTGAACTTTTTTCGACGGATCTGGCGGAAATAACTTTCGTTCTTCCATATTTATTGCAATAAGAGAAGGAAGGGTTCATTCAAATCAAAAATAACGAAAAGTGAAAAACTTTTCGTTATTTACGTGTTCTAAAAAAGTATCACAACATTTTGCTACCCCAATTTGTCCCACCAAATTAACGATCCGGTAAAATTAGACCAAAAAATAGGAGTGAAGGTACAAAAATTCGGACTCAGCTCAAAGTTTGTAGGATTGTTCAAAAACATCATCATGAATGAAATCTAAAGAATCCTCATCGATCCGATGGCTGGAAAAATTTTTACTCGGGGTCAAAGGTCACAAAAACCTGTTTTCCGCGATATTCAGTAAGACGGTCAGTTTTATCATTAAACAAATCTAAAGGAATGAACTTTAAACGTTCAAGCCAGTCTCGGATATACCTATACAGTAACTTGAATGGACTGACGCCTATCAGAAAACAGCATAGCCCACTGACTAATAAGAAAGTTTTTCTTCCTTATTCAGAGGAATCGGACAAATTACGGATATGCAGTTGATTAGTACCTCGTCCACTAGATGGAGTGAAATTTTGTTGTTCGCTCCAACTTAGGAAGAGGAATGAAATGCTCTGAAAGAATTCCGATTTTCAATTGTGGAATATCATTGACTTTAGGTCGATGATGGCCACTATCTTGCACTGATGAGTGGCTAATAAGCCCGAAACCGGTCTGCAAGTGTGCCCGTTCCAGAATTGAGGGTCGACTCTTTCAGTTATATTGCCAGTTGCATATGCAGGAAATTTTCTGTGAAGATTCCTGCACTGACGTTTGCCGAATATAATCCAACGTCCTTCGTGGTATTAGTGAAATTTGGATGAATTATGTCCTGAATTTTTATCAAACACTGAATTTATAGACATAATTCGGGAAACTAGTTGTTTTTTCATTAGAGATTTCCGCTTACATCTACAGAATCATGACACGTGTTTTACTAATCAATAGTTTCCCAAAAACTACTTGGATTTTGAAAATCCATCCATCATAAAGAAATAAAAGGATGTGTTTCATTTAAAAAAAGAAATTCCTATGAAATACAAAAACAATCACTTTTCTCCTGTTCAAAGCCGCGGTGTGATCAAATTTTGACACTTCTTAAGTGTGTTTTTCACTTTTCGAAACATCTTAGGCAATGAGTTCCTTGATAATTCAGTATAGTGACCGTTCTCAATTAAATTATCGATTCTCTCGAAGTAATCCGACTTGTACAGTATTACAACATTTGTCTGGTTTCAAATAGAAGACATATTTCTCCTTCAATCGTTTGATGATCTTCCTTTTTCTTTATTTAAAAGGAAAAACACCCCATCAACCACTAGGGTTATTAGCGGTTACAGTAGGTACAATAAATTTTGTTAGAGATGCCAACATTTTCCAAAAAACTATAAAGGGAAGTAAAGTTCGTAACATCCAATGCATTGGTGAGGTCGCTTGGTAAGCCGAAAAATTGTCTTTCTTCATTTAAAGCTGGACAATCAGAGATGAAATGTTCAACACTCATCGTCACACTGCAGGTATCACAAATGCGAGGCTCTTCATGCATTAGGAGATGTAGATGGGTAAATTTCGTATGTCCAATTCTCAGGCGTGTAAGTAAAACTTGCTGTCTGCGGGTGAGAGCTCGGTAATTTTGAGTGACTAGATTCGGATTAATGGCTTTCTTTTGTAAATCAGTAGTCTTCCTTGATGAGCTATCACAATTTTGTTTTTCGGGAAAGGTGCTCGTTTTACGACGTATTCTATAGCTGAGTTTCCATCTTTACCTTTTATTCAAAGAATCAAAAGGCAATCATTTGGTGAATGCGCCGGGGAAAATAACTAGTTTATGATACCTAAAAAAGTCTCTACATATAGAGACAAAACATTGAATCTGAATGAAAGGTGACTGTAATTGAAATTACATCTGTATTCATGAGAGAATCAAAATATTGATCATCACAATAGAATCATCACAGTAGAAAATAAATCATAAATTGGCACCCAATGTGGGGCTGACAAACTTGTGTCCATGTTTCTAGAGTAGAAACATTGTATTTCCTCTGACCCAAGTAAGATCAGAGTATCTTGTGAATAAAATCCACTGCACCTCCTTCCTATTTTACTAGGAACCGTAATGAAAACCCTTTCATCAGTAGTTGCTTTCGAAACTCTCAACAGTAAATCGATTTGTTTCAAGAAACACGAACTATATTTTTCATTTTCACAGTTAATAGCGATATTTGTCATATCAACCTTTGTCCCACATGAATTGGGCAACAAGTATACAAAAGTGTTTCACTACTAATCATGAGCTTGCAAAAATGTCAAACCACAACTGCGGAACAGTAACTTATCAGGAAAACCGTTCTTTGTATGTGGAGTCCCGCCACATTCCCCAATTTCGGAATCCTTTCTATAACTATTGTGTATCCCCCGTAAAACCAGCATTGTCCCTGCTCTGATTGGTGACTCACTGAGGGTGTTGTCCTCTGTCTTTCCCCACCGACGAGTATGATCAGCACGCGGCTGCTGCGTCGCGTAATACTCAAGTCATAGCCTACTAGTTAACTCTGACAACTCGCGAGGAGCGCGCAGTTATTTCAAATCTTTCGCTCAGTACAGACGTGGTTTTTTGTATCAAGTGTGCTGCGCTATTGTTGTGTGATTGATAATTGTTGACAGTTTCATTTGTTTGAAACAGTGCTTATTATTCGAAAGTTAGCAGAGGATTCTACAACGTCGACCAGATTAGTTGGTGAGTGTCGATTGTTTCGAAAACTGTGTCGCGATCTTGTGTTTGATCTGATTGTTATGGTGCATGGGTTTTAATGACAGATATGCTCTAATAATATTCGGTATTGGCGCCTTCGATACAGTTACTTTGTTCCATATTTACATCGCACACTTGACAGTTTGGAGGATGTTTTCATTTTTTTCCGACAGATATTGAGCCGTGTAGATCTGGAGAATTTTCCAAAATGACGCAATCTCAATTATTTTATTACAAGCGTCGCGCTTCTCAAAATACCAAAACGTAGTTTGGTGAGTAATGAAAGGCACATAATTCCCATGACTGTATCATTATGAAAGCGTGTTTATCATAGTATTATTAAATGTTGTCGTGTGCTTTGGAAATTCTCCGAATTGAGCGATACTTGCTTTGTATTCGTATTTGCGAAATTAGGTAATCTGTTTGCTGTAATTCTCCTTTGTGACTTTATCGAGATACATGTTTCTGGGCTTCGATAAAGTTTGACGCTTATCATTTGGGTGTCACGAGAACAAAGAAACGGTGGACTAGTACGACTTCTATTTACCCAGAATTGTGTAATTCAATAGATGAGCATCAAAGAACCGGCACCATTCTTGGACTATTATTCTACTAGCCTACTTATTTCTCATTGAACTAGTCACTAGACAGAGCTGCACTGTATTCGACGTGCTTCGTAGTAGAGGTTCGACCTTTTCATTGTTTTCTTCTGAACTCCGGTGATTCATACTTTGTAACAGGAAAGTCCACTAGACGAGCGCTTGCTTTATTCCCGAATTAAACGTCAATTTTAGAAACGCGTTTGAATATTGGTTGTCAACTGTTGAAAGTATCAATTCGATCGATGTTCCAAGTATAGTATTCATAATGTTGTGAATTACATCAGGATTGTATCATTTGCGTTTGTAATTCCCAGTTCCGCTTGATATTGATCAGCGGGAAAAGTTTGATTTCTTGTTATCTTTTAATTTGAAGTTTATTGCGAATTCGGTTTGTATTGAAAACATTTCTGGTGTAACGAACGTTTACAATAACACACTTATTTGCTTAGATGTTTTTCCATATTTTTGATTTACTGTAAAAACATTCGAAAATATATTTGTTGTTTATTCATATGCAGCTCCAAAAAGTCGGATAAAAACTATCAAACCCATCAAATTTCCTCGAATTTCCATTGTAGATTTCAATACCGATTGGTAAAAACATCATAATGACCTCGACTTTGAGTTGAGTAAATTTGTTTTTGTGAAATATTTGGTGGCATATGGAGAATCTTATTTTGCGGGACATTTTACTTCTTTGTTTACTGGGAATTAATTACACTGTATTGGACTTTATATTATCTTCTGAAATGATCAATTTATGATTATGTTGATAACGACATTTTTGTAATGCACCTAGGAAATATAAATATATCCTATAAGTTTTTATGGGGGCCTCGCTTTTGAAAANTTCAAGAAACTGCTCCTATGTTCTTTTATTCTGTGGAAAGTTTTGGGCAAGTCACAACTTGTATAGTGCTGATTCATTTATTTATTCCCAAAATCAGATACACATTCAACATTAATTGGCAAAAGCATTGAACATGTAGATTTTAGTTAGCAAAGACACGTCTTTACACGTCTTTTTTTTTGTTAAACTGACTATAAACGTCTCGAAACTAGGCTCTATAAAACCAAAATAGGTGGAAGATATTTTCAACTCACTGACATCAAAGAGAAAAAGTTTGTTTTCAACACGTGGATACCGAATTGTAAGAGATATCTTTTTGTGAGTAAACATTCTGTTATCTGAATTGTTTCCCAAATAATCTGCCTCTAGCCCAAACGAATTGAAATGTTTTTTCTACGTCTGTGACCCACTTAAATAAATTGATATGGTGAAAATCCAGCTATGCGTATGCTTTGGAGTTCTGTTAACAAAGCACAGTTAAACAATTTTTAACAACTCTTTCAATTGCCTAGGTAGCGGTTTTTATAGGCCCCACATTTCCATATACGATGTTTTACCATCAATCCGTTCGGATGAAACAACACAAATTACCGATTATTAGTGAGATATTTGTGAGTTCAAGTGACAGAAGATAATAAAGTGAGCGTAAGCTTTTAGTTTCTCGAGTATAATCATTGTTCCGGAACTGCAATCGGGTTACGCAATAGTAATCCGTGTCTGACAACGTGCTTAAACGGGAATATATTAAATATTGAACAATGTAGGTGTTACCAACATGATTTCGTGAACTTCGTACGCTTAATTAGTTTCTATTTAGAAGTAAATTAAAATTGCGCCCGGTAGAATAGATCCCCGCTCGTTATGTAACGGAGACTTTGACCTAGTTACTCTCGATTTTGAGGTCTGCGCGAGATTTTTCAGGATAATCTATCTAGTTCACCGATTATCTGTACACTGTTTTGAAATGTGTTTGGCGACGTATCTACATATATTACGTCTCCGTTATTGTGCGCAATTTCAATTTGTTTATCGATAGTATTATTTTTCAAAACTTGAAATTACTTAGAACTAATTTGTTTCGCCGAATCGTGTATTTCTGATTGAAATTCCAGCTAATTTGGTGGAAAACATTACATAAACACCGTTCGGGGAATAGTATCATTTACAATTTGTCGAAGAAAACTTTTGTAGTTTTTCATGTCCAGGTTAGACCTTTTTCAATGCCAGAACGCTGTTTGGGACTGTTGTGTTTTCGTTATTACACGAATCACGATGAACTTGTGGGGTTCTAAAAATATCGTGCTGTGCCGTATCATGATTACGAATGCTGTTACTAATTTAACGACACGATTTTCGACAAATGACGACTACACTCACCTCAGGTTCCACGTGTTCATGTGTAAGAGATAGTTCTAGAATTTCGAGAGAGAGTGTACGGTTTTAGCACGTGTTGCTGGTCACGTTGTTTGGTCGCTTGTTTATGAAACAAATGAAAAAAAATCTATGACAGTTGAATAATCCTATTAAGTATTAGATGTCGGTGCTGAACGCCCTATGTAAGAATATCTCCCATGGCTTTACCTACCACTAGAAGGCATAATGCTGTAGGTTCGGCGGGATGCAGTTAAATCGGGACGGCCTTGACTGCACTTGTAGCAGAAACCAGTCTTCATTTTTACCATAATGCATTTGAATATTCTCGCCATTTTTGTTGGCACAAGTTTAATCTTTAGCGTTGCTGAAAGTATTCGATTCATTCCAATGTTGTAATCAATCATTATTATTAATAAGGTAATGAGTGAGTTCTTATTCAGATGCGCTTTGTCGAATTTAGACGTATACCTACGCACCATAAAAATTAATGTTCAACTGTTTTTGACGCTTTTGATTTGATATGTATGTCAAGCACCTCAATTCTAATTTTTAGATTTTTTGAAATATTTAAGTAACTAAATTTTTAGTTCTACAATTCACGATAACGTTTTCATTGTTGAAATCCATGTTTAGGTTTGCTTTCAAATCATCGAATTAGATTTTATAATGTATCTTTCGTTTCGTTCAAAACTTTTTTCTGTACTAAATCACGGGTAATTGAAAATATTCAAATATCTAAATATTTCATCTGTAGTACAAAATTTCGCTAACACTTGAAATCAATTTTTTATTTTGATTGTCTTTTGAACAACCTATCAAGGAGGTTACATACAGCGCCATCTGCCCGCGAATAGATCAATCAATACAGATCCCGAGCTTGAGAGGACAATGTTAAGCATTACAAACAAACATACATACATATAAACATACATATATACAGGTGAAGCTAAAATATAAGTTGTGTATCTTATATTTCTTAGAATAGTAACACTTTGTCAATGAGATTTCATCTTCAACAATAAAGTACATTTTGATTTGATTTGATTGCAATAATTGATACTTACGTACAGCGCCATCTGTTCGCAAATAGATCAAGCAATAATTGATAGTTACGTACACCGCCATCTACCCGCGAATAGATCAAGCAATAATGCCGATAATTCTGTCAGTACAGATCCCGATCTTCAGAGTTACACACAAACATGCATACAAACAATCATACACACATACATACAGGTGAAGCCAATATAAAGCGTGTAAAAAACGTCTACTTTGGTTTGGCGGTGATATAAAAAAAACCCAGTAACACGTCAGACGATGATTCATCGAATACTTTTTTACCATTGTATAAAAAAAAATTCGAAATCTGTTGATAAATAACGAAAATTTCATCTAAGAAATTACTGGCAAAATTTCATCGAAAAATCGTGATGAGGCCCATTTCTGGATGAATAGGTATGTGAATAATGAAAATTGTCGAATTTGGGACGATTCAAATCCACATGAGATCCAACAGCGTCCAATGCATCCCAAAAAAGTCACTGTTTGGTATGGATTTTGAGCTGGTTGCATCATCTGTCCATATTTTTTTGAGAACCACGTTGGCCAGACCACCACTGTTAATGAAGAGCACTATAGGTCGATGATTACCAATTTCTTTTGGCCTGAATTGGATGATCTGGACACCAACAAAACACAGCTCATGCACCATTGGATATTCTGCACGAGCAATTAGAAGGCATGGTCATATGGTCATCTTACGCGAAGGTGATGTGAACTGGCCACCAAAATCGTGCGATTTAACCCCGTTAGACTTTTTCTCGTGGGGTTTTTTTAAGTCGCAGGTATATGCGAATACGCGACAAACCACAGCCGACATAATCCATGCCATCGGTCAAATTCAGCCTGATTTATGCGTCAGAGTCATGGAAAATTGGACGTTTCGGATGTGCTGAACCCAAGGAAGCCGTGTCAGACATTTGAACGATGTTAGATTCCATAAATAATGGCATCAATAGGTCTTTCAAACGAACAAAAAATGTCTATGACATCTCACACACACACACACATAGAAATTTAAAGATAGCAGGCGCCTAATGAGAGACCCTTTATATGTCTAAAACCGTAAACATTGTTTTCTACACGACTATGTTGAATGCGATATTGGAACAAAATACGAACTCATTATTGATGCGTCTCTTTCCAGTATCAGTCTCATTTTTATCGATAAAACTTTCATTTTCAATTTCGAAATAATAGGACTGTATCAAATAAACTGTTTTCGATATAAATCACGCAAGAGCAATTGTTTTTACGGCATTGTTATGACAGCAATGCCTGCTTGATTATTGGCACGCTAATTTGACATTTCAATAAATGTCTCTATGATATATGTCAAGTGTCATTAATGAAAGTGTTGCCATTATGTTTGCAATAAAGCAATGAAGTTCAAAACAAGTTCGAAATCTTCCTAAAGTCTCTGTTTACTTCTTTACTACATGAGCTCTTTGATCGACATCACTGATGATTGTTTCCTTTGTTTCAGATGTCCTAAAACAGCAGATCATGGTTGCCGAATTTGTGGGCCGCGGTCAAAGTGGTTCCCCCGTAAATGGTGAAATTCCACATTTAAACTCCAACATGCCAGCCAGTCACGGACGGGAAATGCTGTCTGGGTCTTCCACACCTGCAGAAGACTACAACCCCAACTACAACTCGTCAGTCAAACATAAGGATCTGTTCTCGCAGCGCAAGCAGCGAGAATTCACCCCGGATAACAAGAAGGACGACAGCTACTGGGATCGACGCCGCAGAAACAACGAAGCGGCAAAGAGGTCCAGAGAGAAACGGAGATACAACGACATGGTGCTTGAGCAACGCGTCATCGAGCTCACCAAGGAAAACGCTATACTCAAAGCTCAGTTGGAGGCTATCAAGGAAGAGTACGGGATCTGCGGAGAAAACGTGGTTTGTGTGGAGAAGGTTCTAGCAAACTTACCGTCCAGTGAGCAGGTTCTCAGCTTATCCAAGAGACAAAAAATCAACCATCCACCAAACCCGATTTTATTCGGGACACCCAGCCCGATTCCAACTTCGGTTATACATCAGCCAGTGATGGGTTCCCCACCGCCACAGCCTATGCCTCACCCCCACAACATCCTCCACCCACCCCCAGCATCGCACATGGAACCTGCTTACAGAGAACCTGAGTACCACCACTACCCTTTCTACCACCATTCCGGTATCCACTACGACTCCAACAATGCTCTGAATCTCTCTAGATCTAGATCGAGGGTACAGTCACCTTTCGAAGTGTCCAGCAACTCAGGAGACGAGAGCGTTCCCATTGCCTTGACCATCAATGAACCCAATAACAGTTTGCCATTGAAGCTGAGACACAAATCCCACCTTGGCGATAAAGACGCAGCCAGTGCCCTTCTGTCCTTGCAGAATATCAAGCAAGAGCCAGGTCCTCGAGCTAGCCCTCCATGGGACGGGGAGGGATCCAGCGATGAGAGAGACTCCGGCATTTCATTGGGCGCTGAATGGTCTGCTGCTGCAACAGCCGCAGCTACGCTTCAGACTCTGAAACAGTCCCAGCTTCAACTCATGCAAGACTCCGCTGAAGGAGACGCAAGCACCAAACATAGACTGCAGTCTGAACTGATAAGACTTTCTTCTGAGGTGGAGCATCTCAAGACCATTATGAATAGGAGCAAAGAAGCTCCCCAACATTAGCTTAGTTGATGTGATGAAGTGGTTGCCAAGCAGCCTCTGTGATTTTGTGATGATCCTTTTGATGGAGATTGGACATATCGTGCTCCAAAGGAGCATATTTATTTAATGATAGGTATTTATTTGTTAGTTAAGACTTGATATTTCATTTTGCACAAGTTCCGCTTTCTTTTGCCAATATATTCCTATGATTATCTTACTGTAAAATTAATTTGCGTATCTGTGGCGCTTTTATTAGATATGACTTAACATGTTATCAGTTTTATGTGCTGTACAGTACAGTTTATGTACAGTTTTGTGTACTGTCTTATATCATCACAACCGATTTTACTTCGTCATTTTATCATAGGGATTAATGTACCTACCTTAATTATTAGCTGAAAATATGTGTGATTTTTGTAACTATTTATCATTATGTAAAAATGTATGTATTTTTGTTATTTGCTGTGCAACAACGGCGGTTAATATTACGTTACGTTATCTCATTATTATATATTTATAAATATATATCGTAAGACTCATGCTGGACCTCACCTCAAACAGAATTTTTTCTGTCCACTGAATTATATGAATCTGCAGGTTGTCCAGAATGAACTACTTTCATATGACATTAACTATCAATATTTTGTTACCGATCAATTCATAGAAATTACTGAAACCTATTTGTATCATTATCGAAGGTATTGAACTTGCTGGACCTCGCTTCAAAACATGATGTATTTTTTTATTAATTGAATTATATGAATCTATAGATTGTCCAGCATGTACTACTTTCATATGACATTAATTATCAATATTTTGTTACCGATCAATTCCTAGTAATTACTGAAAAATGTTTGTATCATTATCGAACTTGCTGGACCTCGCCTCAAAACATGATGTTTTTTTGTTAATTGAATTATGTGAATCTGTAGGTTGTCCAGAATAAACGTTATATTCATATTATAAAGAAACTATCAAATATTTTCATATTACAGATTGATGTATCCTAAATATGTATTGAAAATACTGAATAAATATTTGCATCGTTTTTCAATCAATGTGCGTTATTTCAATTTAACCCTCCAAAGAAACCGTTTTGGAAAGACTGCCACTATCCCAAATGAAAGAGAAGTGATTTCCTAACAACTCATACAAGACAAAATGGTTTAGTAGACTTCCACGGCTGAGGTTTTCAGTGTCACTGTTTTTCGAGTTTGAAAGCCGTGGATTTTTGGAATTTCTTCCTGACGTTTCGCTGGCGCGTTTCGCTAGCTTCTTCAGAGGTTTAACCATCATGGTTGAACCTCTAACTTTTAGGCCAGTACAACGGATTACCTGACAAGGCATAAATACGCTTTACGAAGCCTGAAAGGTAGTCATCGGACAGCAAGCCATGATGGTTAAACCTCTGAAGAAGCTAGCCACGCGCCAGCGAAACGTCAGGAAGAAATTCCAAAAATCCACGGCTTTCAAACTCGAGAAACAGTGACACTGAAAACTCATACAAGGTTCTGATAATATATAAACTGATGCCAATCAAATGGGCACTATTGGTCACTTTTGTTATTATTGTGGAAACGAAATCATTCAAATGAACAATCTATTAACATTTTCTACGTTAAATACAGTTTTTCTGACAGAAAGCCGTGTGAATCAGAAATCCTTCATCATTATAGAGACTTTAAATTCCATTAAGTGCCCTAAATGTTGTTTTGGATAAAAGTTCTTACTTTCTTCGTTAACAAATTTGAAATCTAGTTAAAAAAAGGAAACACAAGAAAAGGAACCTTAAGTATTCAATGTCAAATCATAAGAACGCTAATTTGTAGGAAATAGGTACTATTGCAACCTGAAATGAATGGAGTAGGTTTAGCAATATACAGTCCATTTTTTTAATATCGCCCCTTCTATTTTTTGAACGGGTCAACTGAAAAAATTTAAATATGGGATAATAAAATCAGGGCATGAATACTTTATTTTGAAGTGAAATTGACAGGTGAAACTTTCAAGATGGCGACTGGGCGCCATCTGGGAAAAAAATTAAATGGAAAGGAGGGTCTTGTGGCACATCATTTTGAAGCTACTGACGAATACTTCACAACCCTAGAATATGAAGTCAATATCTTTACCTACTGCAAAATGGCGGAGAATTTAATAATTTCCTGAAGACAAACACATTAATATAGATATTTCTAGAAATATTCCTTTTTATCTGCCATTAGGGAATTCCAACAACCCAATAAGGTTTGTTAAGTTATTTTTTGTTTATAAAAATTTGGGGTAACCCCAACCCTCACGATTTCCTGGAATCCAATATCCAGAAAAAGTTAACGTTTGGGCAAACATTTTGGGAAACTATATTGAAGGACCTCCATTTATTGATCAAAATTTAACAGATGAACTGTTATTGAATATGGTGGAAACTACTGTTGACCCTCTCATCACTGAAATAGTCGAAGCGAATTCTAATGATTTCGATATTGAATTCCAACAAACCACCAAGCAAAATATTATAAGAACAAAATAGAATACAAAAAACAAGATACTAAACAACTATGGAATATTGTGAAAGAAATCAACGGCACTAAACCTAAATCAACCACAATTGGACCAATTAAAAATGATCAGGGAGTACTCCTAACAAAGAATAGAGACATAGCCAATGAATTCAACTATAATTTCGTAGATATTGGAAAGAAATTGGCAAATGAAATAATCAAAAATAATAACCTCGTTTTTCATCCAAACATTTTACCAAACTCTTTTGTCTTAAGCCTAACTGATAAAAATGAAGTAAACGCATTAATCTGCGACCTTAAAAACAAAGAGGCGGTAGGGAAAGACGAAATTAAAGCAGAACTGCTAAATCAATATCATATTATATACTAGATCCTTCAGTTTTTATTATTAATAAATGTATATTACTTGGTGTGTGGCCCGACTCATTCAAAACTGCAGTAGTGACTCCTATCCATAAAAAAGAAGATAAAACTGTAATCACAAATTATAGGCCAATCTCGCTTATCACCCATCTATCAAAAATTTTTGAAAAATTGCTAAAGAAAAGAATAAACTCATTCATAACCAAATACGAATTGATTTCAGATAGACAATTTTACAGAATTGATACATAAATCCTTGGAGAAAGAAAAACCTTCTTTATATCTATTTATAGACCTAACGAAGGATTTCGATACTGTCTATCATCAACTACTCCTGCAAACTTTAGAAAATAATGGTTTCAGAGGGAACTGCCAAACGCTTTTCGAAAGCTATCTTCGAAATAGAATGCAAGTTGTGCGAATTGCAGATACAATTAGCAATCAAAAACAAATAGAATGTGGAGTCCCACAAGGTACGGTTATTCAGGCAATTATTGAAAGTTCCGTCATTTTGTAGTAGTTGAAGATATATACATTATATTCTAGGGTTGTGAAGCATTTGTCAGGAGCTTCTAAATGTTTTAGTTTTTACACACTGTACGTTAAAAAAATGTCAGTACGACAATGAACATCATTGTTGAGTTAGAATATTCTCATTTAGTTTTCGGTTTTCTCAATACCAAGGGAATCTTGTTGACTCACCCTGTACTAAATGTTGATAAAATATATAGAATCACAACCCTGACAACAATATTTTCGTTTCGTTTCTGAGACTTTCGTGCCTATTATTATGGAATTGTACTATACCATTTTTTCAAGCACTTCGATAACGTTCTTACCGGTAGAACCTTCGCCAATCAGGACCAGGCAAAACGGCCTTCGTCGACTTGATCAAATCCCCAGCTCACAATTTTCATGCTGACGGAATTAACCAACTTGTGTTACGTTGGCTATTTGAGGCTGGATCGATTTGGCCTACGTCAAAACTGTTAAAAACAGTTCGCACCGTGTCTGTTTCAAAACTTACCCGTAAGTATAAAATTGAAAACGAACCAAGGTTCACATTTTACCATTTTTAAAAATTCAATACTGAGAAATACGTTGACTTGTTTTTTTTGAGAAATGGCATATTTGTCAGATACAGCTTATCACAGGTCCATTTATTTTGGTCTGGATGTCATTTTTAAGGGAAGAAATCTTTCACTAAATGTCATCCTTAAAATTGCTCATATATGGTATGATTTTTTTTTGTGTTACTATTAACATTAATTTACAAAAGCACTTCTTCTGTCATGTTGCCCAATGAACATCATAACAAAAACAATCTGTGTGAATGTAAACAGAATTTTGATCTTTCATTCAGTATTGCGTGAAATAATCCACAAAAACAACATATTTGCTAAATGAGAAACATGGTGTTATCATTATTTAGGTCAGTTATATGGAACTGGGGAATACAACCAATCAATTTCTGTTGCAGTATTTCTCGTATTCCTGTAATCTGAAATTATAAACAAATTTGAAGGAAGTTCCCAGAAAATCGAACGGAATCGTTTTCTTCAAAATCTGTATGAAATGACTATTTAGAAAATAATTCGTAGCTTATCAAATTTGGGTTGGAGTCAGCGAATTTTTCATGACTTCTGAACTCTGTCATTACATAATTTTAGTGATGTAATTTTATCAAATGCTTACTATGGGGTCTTAATCTTTCAACATTTGGACTAATCATTTCTGATTACTAGAAAAGTAGGTCATTTGAACGAATAGATTATTTATTTCAATCGGAAAATCAAATTTTGATGGAAAATAAATTTGATAATTCTATTGTTTATTTTTGCTGAACCATTCACTCATTGAATTGAGAAATTATCAAATTTCATAAATCCCTGGATGAAGTACGATTTTCAGGATTCGAAGGTTTGTGTATCGGCTTATAATGAAGTTCATTTTATCTCAAGGATGATTTTTCATGATTCAAATGATCCGGGTTCTGCAAAATTGGCACTGAATTGAAAAGATGTCAACCACAGATTCTAGAAAGTTCAATACCTTATCCCGTATGAGATCCACAAATCCCCAATCAGAAAGTTGTTAAATCTAATCAATTCAAAACAATATCAAAATATTGATTGAAATTGCGAATAAAAATGATATAGGCAAAAAAATAATTTGGGATTTTTTGGTTTTTCCTGAATATCTCCAGAACCAGAAGAGCTATTTTCGATTTCTTCACATCATTGAATAGGTCTCTAAAATACGCAACTTTGACACAATTTAATCGACACTCTATCTCTTATCGTTTACGAGATACCCATGTACAGAAACGAATTTGAATAGCCCTGTATATACACACATCGGAAAAGCCTAGGGATATTTTTTAAAATGGCAATAATTTTTTTTAGATCGCTTAAGGGAAAAAAAAGTTGACGGATGATTATTAAACGAATGTAACTTACAACAAAATTTATTAAATGGTCAAAAATACTGATAAATAGTAAAAATACCACCCATGTCAGTTCACCTTTGTTGTGGAATATTACAAAAGATTTGTTGCTTTTTTTCGTAAACTTTTGGTAAACTTAAGAGTTGAGGGTTATTAAATGATGATTGTGAAATTACAACTCAATTTATTGGTATTCCAAAAATGTTTTGGTAAATTTCGCAAATCGTATTGAATGTTGTATTGGCAACACACTGATTTTTAATTTAACTGAAGGTTCTGTTCTGTAATACATTTTTAATTAAAAAAAATCAACACAACACAACAAAAACGCAATACATGTTTCGCTATACAATAAACTCATCAGGCATGTCTTTATTAACTAAATCTACTATTTAAATTACCCGAATTTCAAGTACCTGTGTTTTACCCAGGCAATTAATTTTTAAAATGTGTACCTGTGTTTGTGAATAAATCAATTAACATTTACATAAAAAAGAAGAGAAAGTGTACAACCTCAACTAAATAAACCTGTAATGAATGAAATTACCTGAGCCTATGTATCAGTTAATTAACAGTTTTCACATTTGAAGACATTTTCAGTAACAGAGATTTATTGAATTCTATATTTGGTCATTCAGTAAATGACCCGAATTCTCAAATTTATTTATTTCCGAACATTCTAAGTTACAAACTCAGTTCTGTTCTAAATTCAACAGGCCCTTCTGC